CATCTTGGATGCCCTGGGGGTAAGCAGATAAACATCAAATTTTCATTTTTGGGTGAACTATCCCTTTAAGATATTGTTGGTCATGCAGTGTTTCTGTAAAAAAAAAAACTACTACTACTAATAACAATATAAAACGCACTAAGGAGTAATGAGCCGCTGGGTTCATGAATATTAATCACGGTGTCTGCGTTCGCATGAACTGATTTGCTGAACTCAAAAGAGGGATAATAATAAATGAGTGCCAGTCGTTTGCGCATTAGCTCCGCCCACTACTGGAGAAACCGGCATATCTTATGCTTATTCTTAAAAGCTGAATAATTCTAAATGAACTGTTATTTTTACAGAAAAATACAACAAAGAATATCATTTACATGTAGCGCGTCAGCTCCATACAATGTGACTCTCTCGCTCTCTCTCTCTCTCTCTCTCTTTCTTTGCGTGTGTGTGAGAAACAGTGCTCCCAGCACACAACAGCAAGTCGTGCGCCTTCACACTAGAGTTTACGGTACGTCAAATACAGGTACACTGCGCATCCATCGAGATTAATTGAAAAATAGCACAGATCGCTTGACGGAGAGCGAAACTCTGAAACGCTCAGTCAGAGTGTTCGGCGAGTGTAAATATATCTAGGCTAAACTTATACTCAGCCTCCAACTCACACACTGGCGAGTAAAATCTGAGAATTTATTAGCCATTGGCTAATATTAGACCTCATTTAGTCGCCCAGAGTGAAGATTTAGTCGCATATGCGAGTGATTTACTCGCAATGTAGAGGGTTGATTTGTTACACAAATGTGCTTTTCAAGTAAATTTGTCTAGTTTTAAATGTTCAGAATTTAAAAAAAAGATTTAGAAGATTTTTTGGCAGTATAGAGGATAATTGATTTGATGTATGGTGATGCTGCTCTGTGGTTGTGTCCTGCTCGGCAAACCAGCTTGCCAGTCTTTCCCCATTGCACCCTGGGAGCTCATTACAGGTGCCTCTGAGCTTGTGAAGCACACCAGGATGTGGTTGTGTGAATCCTCTTCATTAAATACTACAAAACAACAACCGCAATGACAGAGAAACATCTGACAAGAAATCCACAGATGTGCGTTTCACCGTTACTATATATGTTATAGTGAGGCAGACTGGTTTGTTCTGTATAATTGTTAGCGTCTCAGTCTGATTGTAGAGACACATCCATAGAGACTTGTTTGTCTTGTGAGTGATTTTCCTATCAGTATGTTGCTGTTTTTCCCATCATTACACAAACAGAGAATTAGGTACTTTTTAATCTGCCTTACTTTCTCACCCTGAGCTGGAGCTGTGATGTCATATCCTGTGAGTGTTGTTGGGTATAAACTTGCGAGGTTTAGTTGCAGTTTACTCCGGTTGGAGGAATTTGCTCTTGGTTTCTCCTTGTGAGTAAGTAATGTCTGCCGTTTACATCATGCCATTTAAAATGCTGGAAATCTCTCTCTCTCTCTCTCTCTCTCTCTCTCTGTCATTTAGAGCCGTAGTCCATGTCACTCCCAGTCCACTCAGTCAGGTTTGGCAGACCAGGCGTCTAAACTGTCCTTCGCATCTGCTGAGTCTCTGGAGACCATGTCTGAGGCCGACATGCCGCTGGGCTTCAACCGCATGAACCGTTTCCGTCAGAGCCTCCCACTCTCCCGCTCTGCAAGCCAGAATAAACTACGCTCTCCAGGTAACATATACACACAGGCCTCATCTGAGTATCAGTCTACTGCTCTCAGTAAATTACTCTCTTTACCTGACACTCAAAAGACTAATACGCTTATGCCCACATAAACACAAGAATAAGTTAGCAAGTTTACTAGAGCCAGTGCTGTGGTGTAGCAGTAGCATCAGGGGCGGACTTACCCATTAGGCAAAGGTAGGCGACCGCCTTGGGCCCCCAAAAGCCAAGGGCCCCCTAAAATGCTTTTCATATAGGATATGCTCATTAAGCGCTGACACGCGAACGGTTGCTGTTTATGGTGTTTATTATCACAACAACTGTCCGAGTCAGTGGCGCCTGCAGGTGTACGGCACTGAGTACCATGAGTGCTCAGACTGACCTCAGATTTGCCCGCAAACATTTCAGCAGTTGTCATAGGCCTGTGTGTCCCATATTTCTGTCGACTGAACCAGCCATGCCATTAATTATGAATTTATTAGTCTTTTGCATGCCGAAGTCAATTTCTGCATAGAAATATTATGCCAAATAGAAGCAGAAAATCGTGCTATAC